GGTCGGCTGCGAGCGGCGTGAGGCCGCCCGGGATGGCGCCGGAGTGCGGGAGCCCCTCGGGAGGCCCGGGTGCAGTGCCCCCATCCCGGCGATCTGCTCGCAGGGCCCCTCTCCCCGGGCACCCGTCGCTGTGGGTGCGCGTTGACGGGCCGGGGCAGGGGAGCGCCGGTGCCCTGACCCGGCGCCCTGACCCCGTGCTTGCAGGAGGGACGTAAAACGGCTGTGGGAGTGACCGCGTTGACTGCGGACACAAGCGGGATCTGTTGTGGCAGGGGCGCAGGAACAAGGGGTTGATGAAAAAAAAGGCTGGTCTCGTCGTCTGTAGCTGGTGCTGTTTGTTTTCTTTGCCCTGAAAGGGTGGCCAGGGCACCTCTCCAAGACACAGCCGGAGCTCAAGTGTATGGAGAAGCAGTGGTCGCCCTGCGAGCGTCTGCAGAGCGGCTGTTACCAAATGCTGTGACACACGAGTGCTATCTCTCTCTCTGCTTATTCTGTCTAAAATGAGTGAGGAGTTTTGTTTCAGGGGAACAGGGCTGGAAGCTTGCCTCTGCTCAAGCAACTTGTTTAGCATTAGAAAAGAAGAAAATACCCCAAGATGTCAGTCTGGAAAAGCTTAATCAATCCAGGTGTGGTTTTTTCTTAGTGCCATGGAAGGGACTTGGACAAATGAATGTCTGGACCTTTTCAGACGTCAAAAGTTGTTATGTTTCTGTGTCTCCTTTCTTCCTTTTCTTATAGCTTTGTCGTTAGGGCAGATGCTTTTTTTGAAACCCTGTGATGCATTACTACCTGAAGAGTGGACTGTCTCTATATCATGATGTCTGCTTTATAGGAAATTCCTTCTTGTTATCAGCTAACACTGTTGTGCCTTCAGCATTTCTTTTTGCCTCTATAGGCTCCTGATGGCCATATTTTTCTGGAAGCCTTTTCTCCAGTTTACAAATACGCACAGGATTTCTTGGTTGCCATTGCTGAGCCTGTCTGCAGACCGACCCACATTCATGAGTACAAGCTGACTGCGTACTCGCTGTACGCTGCTGTGAGCGTTGGCTTACAAACCAGCGACATCACAGAGTATTTGCAAAAACTGAGCAAGACTGGTGTCCCAGATGGAATAATTCAGTTTATCAAGGTAAGATTGTTTTATTGGCATTGGAAATATATCTGCTGCTACTAGTGAAAGCTTTTCCTGCTGCCGCTGCTTAATTTATTTGTTTAATCATTCATTCATTTTACCATCTTATTCTGTTCTGTCACTGTTTCAAGAGAACAGAGGCTTTATCTTATATTTTGTCTTTTTCTATCGTACATTGCTGCACGCATGCTATTTTCACAATATATCCGGGCTGGTTTATGCTCTTTTTTAAAAAAAAATAATAATAATAATAAAAGAAAAGTGTACCGAAGCATCTGCGTGCACGCTTTTAGCCAGTAGGAGTTGTACATGAGAAAGTTTCCTCAGATGTGCTCTGGAAGGTGACTGAGTGTGGGAAGCAGTCTGGAGTAGCTGGGTGCTGTAAAACACAGCCTACTTTATCCTGCAAGTATGTTCTTGCAGTCTTGGTAGCAGGCTGAAATTGAATATAAAAACTGAACATCTGTGAGTGATCTCTGGCGTGAGATGATGCGTGCATTCTCTGAAAATACCTTTTCAGGTTTGTTCCAGAAGCATAACAACGTTGCAAGTACCATGCTTCCTCACAAAGACCCGCATTGCAGCATTGAGTCCCAAACGTAGAATCAATCGCTCTTTCGCGTGTTCCTAACAACTGCTCTTGTTCCTTTGTAGCTGTGTACTGTCAGCTACGGGAAGGTGAAGCTGGTGCTGAAACATAACAGGTAAGTGGCTTCTTCCTTAACTAGTGTGGCAGAGGAAGTCCTCCAAATGCACAGCTGGGCATGAACGAGTGGTCTCAGTAGCTGTTGAGTCTTACAGCTCCCAGCCGAGTGTAGCATCTCTCAATGCAAGATCGCTTTTTCAGTTGTTGTAAATAAAATACTTTTATTTAATACATTAGTTGGTGAATTCAGTGAGTCTGTTCTGAGCTGGTACTGGTTATTATTACATTTTTAACAGTAGGTTGCGAATTTGATATTCTAGCTTGTTTATTGCTTGAACTTGCAATGTATCCTCAAGGTTTTCAGATAACTGTTTCATTTATTCCTTTCTGATTTACGTGAGCCTGGTTAGACAGGTTTTCTACAGCTGTCCTTCAGCCTCCTGTGTTCTGATTTGTAATCTGTTATTCAGGATGGCTGAGCAAATCCACTGGCAGGGAATGTGTGCTTGTGTGAGATCTGCTTGTACCTGGGTTGCTTCTGATATGTCTTAAACACAGAATGTGATGTCAAGAGGGACCTTGAGAAATCAGCTAGTTTAGAGCTGACCCGTTTTATCTAAACCTGTCATTCTGCAGTAAGGAGAGGGATGGGAAGGAGACAGCAGAAGTCTGAAGCCTGTGTCTGCACCTTGCCTGTGTTTTCTCGTTCTCTTTTTATTTATTTTTGCAAAGTTCTCTGTTGTCTGGCAGCCATAAATAAGCCCTGGAGCTATAATCTAATGCTTTCTGTGTGCTGCTGCTTTTTTGAACCTGCTACTTTGGGTAAAATTCTTGCTAGTATCACCAGTAGGTTTTTGTCCTCTTCCTAGATGTTTCTGAAGAAAAAGATTTCTTCCATGCCAGTTCAGACTTAAGTCTTTCGTGGCTCACATTTTAAGTGTGGTCTTCAACCAGCGTCGTTATTGATGAATCTCCAGGGACATAAACGATTTCAGGATCCACTAATTTAAATTTTTAGGTGATTTGTGTTTTGGAGGTTTTGAGTTTTTGTCTTTTGGGCTGTTTTAGTCCTGTGGGCAGGACTTCAGAACACTATATCCAGTGTGTTCACAGACTCATCTCAATTCAGTCTCAAAAAAGATTTACCTGTGTCACGCGTCACAAATAAGACATGTATGTGAGTGTTCTCTCTAGGCAGTTCTGCTGGAATTTTCCCACCCATGTCATTTGAGAGAAAGATCATTTGAGCAACAGATAACTGCAACGTAGATGATGCTTTTGATATGAGGCATCTTTTAAAATTTTTTATTGCCGTAATTTTTTTTTTTTTAAATTACCACCCCCAGGATGGGATACTTGTGAGTGCGTCTGGGATAGCTACAGATTTAAGCATCCATGCTATTTCTCCCGTAAGTTATTCAGTTGATTAGTTCATAAAAATGTTTTTCTTTGTTCTTTAATTTTAGGTATTTTGTGGAAAGTACCCACCCTGATGTTATTCAGCAGCTTCTGCAAGACCACGTTATTAAAGACTGTCGCCTGAGAAATGCTGAGGGTGAAGAAACGGAGCTCATTACGGAGACATTCACGAGTAAATCAGCAGTAGGTTTGGGCATGTTTTAATATGGTGAATTAACTTTAGAGAAACTGTTGTAGTTTGGAGTGGTTATTGTTTGTTTGTCATATCAGCAGTTGCCTTCAGTTCTGTCAGCAATGATCCGTGCCTCCATAACGAGCCCAGACTTAGGGGGCGGCACGAGGCAGGCGGGTGTGTGTGTCTCTAACGAAACCCCTGGTGAAAATTCCTGTCCATCTGTTTCAGATTTCCAAATCCAGTGAGGGTGGCCTTGGTCCGTCAACATCACAGGGAACAGATTCTCAGAATAAGCCAGATGTCCCAGCTGACTTGTTTGAGTTTTATGAACAGATGGACAAAGATGAAGAGGAGGAGGAAGAAACACAAACAGTATCTTTTGAAGTCAAGCAGGTATGAGTATTTTAGTCTCTGCGTTTGTAACTTTAGGAAATGTGTCCAGGACTTTACAATAAGCTTGCATGTTCATTGGAAAGTACTGTGGCTTTGTTTGATGGGGAAGATCACTGGAAGTCATTGACTTTGCCTTCTGAAATCTTGGGATCTTCCTCTTCCATAGAATGGGAGGCAGACTGGGTATTGTTGCTTCCCTGCCCACAAGGCAGAGTGCTCACAGATTAGAGAAGGGCTCCAGAGTCTAAGGGAGGTTCCCCGTCATGTGCAGCTTAGTGTTGCTTTGTGCAAGACAGGCAAGAATTCAGTGGAGGGCAAATCTGCTGTTGGTTTCAGAGCTTTTTTTTTCTCCCTGCTTTTTTTTAATGTGTGGGGTTTTTTTCTGTTTTTGATTTGTGATTCATATTTGCAGAAGGAACTCTTGATGGTTCTGATTTTGTAGCTTGAGAAGGGTAGCTGGAAGTTGGAGCACAGTCCTGTCTTGACCATCAGAGAGCTTTTGTAAAATTTCTCAAGTTGTTTTTGGACTTGATGATTCTAATGATGCCTTACTGGGGAAACAGAATTTTTTAAAAAAGATAACTTAGTAGCTGTTTTGTTTATTTTAAAAAACCCAAACCAAGCCAACAACCTCTTGGTGATTGAATCAACCTGTCATTGTGGTGGAATAACTGCAGCAGGGTGTGGAGATTTTCCAGATAACAACTGTGCGGTTTTGGTAGGTCCTTCTGTGTAATACACAGAACCTTTTCTGGCTGTTACCGACTTCTTTGTTGAAGGACTTCAGGGTGTAGTTTAGTCACCGGCAGATAAACAATGCATCGTGTTCTTCAATCTGTCTGAAGAGCCATCTCTAATATCGACTTACTTAAAATGGTTGGGGGGGGTGGGAGTGGTTTTTGGAATAAAGTTTAACTCTTGCAGGCTTCATAAGTATAAAAGATAAATGTAACTTCACATAGTACTATATAATCTGGTTGTTGAGGGAAAAAAAAGAATAATTCAGATGTGCAGAATTTACCATCTCAGGCTTTGTTTCCTCCTCAGGAGATGATTGAAGAACTTCAGAAGCGTTGTATCCATTTGGAGTACCCCTTGCTGGCAGAATATGATTTCAGAAATGATTCCGTGAATCCCGATATTAATATAGATCTGAAACCTACAGCTGTCCTCAGGCCCTATCAAGAGAAAAGCCTAAGGAAGATGTTTGGAAATGGACGAGCCAGATCTGGTGTTATTGTCTTGCCATGTGGTAAGTTGCTGGGTTGATTTTTAGGGGTTTTGTCCTTTGGGAGTTTTGTTCTTTATTTGCCTGTAGTAAAGCAACTTCCAAATTTGACAGCTGCTTAGATTTCAGACAGTAGTAGGGACTGTTCTGGGTACCAGTAGGCAGAGCCCTGTTGGTTCTTGGTGAGTGGGTGGCACGGCTGTGGTGAGGGGGCCCCGGCTGATAGAGTTGTTGGTGTCTGCTTAACAGTGCGGTCAGTATCCCTGTAGTGACTGAAGAACCGATTTGTGGTCGTGGTAGCTTCAGGTTAACATTTATGCTTTCACTCTTCCCTCTAAGTCAGCTCTGATGATCTTCCAGTGAGACGTAAAGCTGTTGGCGTTGGAATCATTTATCCTTTGGCTGGGAACAGAGAAACTAGGGGGAACTGGGAATAGAAATACGGCATGAAGGGAGGTGCAAGGAAGAAAAGAGCTTGCGCAGACAAGTTCTGGGCAGGGGAGTTTGAGAAAGAAGTGAGGAATGTGCAGACTCAGACAGCCTATGAGAAGCAATGGAAAAGGGAGAGAACAGGAGACTGCACACCAGTGCCCTTGGTATTGGGGGTGGAGGGGACATATGAGAGGTACGATGAGGGCCTGAGAGAGTGTGTAAGGGGTGCTGGAACAAGTGTGAAGGAGGAATGGAAAGATTTAAGGACTTGCTATGTGGGGGAATGAATGTAGCTGACGGGACAGTGGAATAGATCACCTGTAGGGGAAGCTTTCTGTAGCCACTGGGAATTTAACCTGCTTTTGAAATTAAGAAAGCGTTAAAATGATTGCTTGTAACTGGCAAAACCATTGTTTACGATCATTTTCTTGAGAAAATAGATGTCTGGAAAACAAACCAGCTGTTTTTTAGACGTGAATACTGCATTTCTTAAAGACTGTTACAGCAAAGAAACAGTGAAGAATTTGCCCTTACATTGTTTCATTTTCTCTTTTTTGTTTTTCCCTCCTACTCCAGTGATGTCTGCGAAGTGACTAATGAACATCACTCTCCTTCCACCGCAGGTGCTGGCAAGTCTCTAGTTGGAGTGACAGCCGCGTGTACTGTCCGCAAGCGGTGTCTGGTCCTTGGTAACTCTGCAGTGTCTGTGGAGCAGTGGAAAGCCCAGTTCAAGATGTGGTCCACCATCGACGACAGTCAGATATGTCGGTTCACTTCCGATGCCAAAGACAAGCCCATCGGCTGTTCTGTTGCTATCAGCACATACTCCATGTTGGGACACACGACAAAAAGGTCCTGGGAAGCAGAAAGAGTAATGGAGTGGCTTAAAAGTCAAGAGTGGGGCCTGATGATACTTGATGAAGTACATACTATCCCTGGTAAGGAAATGGTGTGCAAACCTTTCACGTTACATACACTGTTAATGTTACTCTTCTCTTTAGATGTGATGGGTTTTTGCTGTCTTTCTCATGATTAATACAGTGAGTAAACCCATGGCTTAGGGTTTTGAGACAAGTAAGCTGCCTTGTTCTGCTTGATTTTTCCTTATTTTTTTTTTGCTGATACTACAGAGTTTAGCTGACCATTAGTTTTCTGAAACCCTTCAAATTAGGCACTGAGTTTTCTGTAACGGCAGTATAAAATACAAGTGCCACCGCCTTCTGCGTAGGTTGATAGAGTGCTCTTAAGATACCTGAATTACATTTGTATAATTTTGCTGTAGACAAATTTGAACAGGAGAGGAACTCATCTGCCTTCTTTTCTTTTGAGATGTAGTGGCACTGTAGGCCAGCTTTTAATATCTATTTCTACCCAATAAAATATGAGTAACCGTGGTGATTGCTGTCCAGAAATGTTGTATTTGAAATTACTATGTAATTGAGATCTGTACTGTTGGAAAGCAATAATGTAGTATTAAAGCATCTGTGGAATAATCCTGGCTAAAAATACCACCCAGGATTCTGTTAGCTGCTCTGCTTTGTTCTCATGAGTTCATTTGAATATAATTTGGTGTCTACAGAAATTACGGATTTCAAAAGTAGACTTTGATGATAAATTGCCATTTTAGCAAAGTAATATGTTGCTGCCACTGTTCTTTCACTTTTGTTCTTTCTTGATTTCATAAAAATTAAGGTATAGAATCTCCTCTGTGATTTCTAGCAACACTAAAGATGAATAATTCTGCCATATACTAGAAGTGCTGGATGCGGTAGTCAGCCAAGAGTCCTTGTGTCATAGCTCTTTCTGCGAAATACTGTATGACCTAAAACAAGCCGTGTAACCTCCGAGTATATTCATTTTTACTCAGGAAAGAATAAAGCTGCCAGAAGGTTTACTGGGATTTTCAGAGTACCCTGAAGACGTAAACTAAAGCTGCAATCAGTGTGAAGTTTTGCTCTAACACAGATTTGTTAGAAGTGTGTGTGAAATGGGGTGTAGTTTCCCAACACTGGGCTTGCTTTGTGCTCAGGAGTTGATAAAAGTGTTTTTTTAAGTTACAGTATTTGTCTTCTAAATCCATTCAGGAAAGTAAATGGAGAATTTGTCTTGCATTTCTTAGCAAAAATGTTCAGACGTGTGCTCACTATTGTACAAGCTCATTGTAAGCTGGGGCTGACTGCTACCCTGGTCAGAGAAGATGATAAAATTGTTGACCTGAACTTCCTGATCGGACCAAAGCTCTATGAAGCCAACTGGATGGAGCTGCAGAACAGTGGCTACATTGCTAAAGTCCAGTGTGCTGAGGTGATGTTCTGCTTTTTGATACTACTAGTATATATTTAGTATGCTTGTAACTTTTGTTTTTTTAAGGAAGATGTTTAAAGTTGTAAGTACTTAACTGGGAAAAACAGTTGCCCTTAGAACGTTTCATTGACTTTGTAGCTTTGACAGGGCGGTCACTGGTCAGTATGAACCTGTGGCAAATCCAGTTGCCGCTTGTTCTTCAGAGTGACTTCAGCACTCTTTCTCTTTGTGGGGATTGTGGCGCTTGATCAGGTGTCTCCAAGTCAGCGCTTGGGAACATGGACAGTGGTTGTAGTATTGTAGACCTGGTTCCATGCAGCTGACGTTTGTGTTGTCTGACTTTGTATCTTAAGCTCAGTTCTCTGTGGTGGTGGAACATGATGTTATGATGAGCATGACATCAGTGGTGTGCTGGAAGGCGCTTTTTAGAGACTTCCACTGGTAATCCGTAGTGGTTTGAGGAAAATTTGTGTAACTCTCTTAAAACAAAAGATAGTAGAAAGTTTAAAAAACATAAGAAAACTTCTGCTTATTTCAAGCCTGGATGCATGAGGGTGAAAATTGAAAAAATAGGACTGGATCTAACTATTTTTTCCAATAGAATGGTGTGACCTCTGTTCTTTTCAGCATATAGATGAGATAAAAATTTTGGTGTCAGAGAAGTGGAAGCCTTTCACACAGGCACATTAGAACATTAAAGTAACCTTTCTGGGTCAGACTAACGGTCCAGCTTGAAATATTGTCTCTGATAATTGTCAAGGAAGATACTTAGGAAAGAGTATAAAAATAAGGGAAGCATATCTTTTACTTCTCCTGATACTTCTCCAAGCCCTCAGTCGTTTATAAGCTCCACGTGGTTTCTGTGTAACTGTCAGTGGGGCTCTTTTTCATGAACTTGTCCAGACTCCTGTTGAATAGAAGTAAAGTTTTAGCAGCTACAGCGTGCTGTGGTGGAGTTTCATAACTTTACTGTCTCTTGGGTTTTTCCTGGGAGTTTTTTGCTTGCCTTTTTTTTTTTTCATTGTTTGTGGGGGTTTTTGTTTTAATTTTTGTTGTTGGTTTTTTTTTTTTAATTTTTTAAACCTATCTTGCTAGTTTCATGCACTTCTTCCTAGCTCTGGTACTGGAATAAAAGACACGGATGCAGGTCAACTGTTCTTCTGAACTTTGTGCAAACTGGAAGCTGTAGAAGGAGAAAAACCCGCAACTATTTTTTAAGTAATAGAATGCAAGTGAAGAGCATCTAGAAAATAAATAAGTTGAAGGGAGAGTAACGAGTCTGAAAAATCAAATTTGACTGCTTAGGCACTTTGATTAATTTTGCCTTGGGAGCATAATTCCTCTCAGTCTGTGAACCACCCTTTAGACATTGAAAAGTGAAGCATGGGCCACCTTTGTTCTGAATTATGGGAAAATTCTGCAAGGTTGTATTCTTTCGGCCAAGTTTTGAAATAACGTTCGATGGGACTGGTGAATAACAAGTCTAATACATGCACAACTGCATTGTGAATTTTTTGGATTTTCTTGGCATGTTGTTGAGAAGCAGCATCTTTAATCAACTTGCATTATTCCCCACAGCCAAGAGATCTGGTTTGCTCTTTCAAGTGCGGTTCTTTCCAGGTGGCAAGAGAGGGCAGTGCTGCTGCCTGATAAGGCATGGTCATTGCAGGCACTACTGTTCCACTGCTCTGGAAGAGAGCAAGCAGCACAGTTAAAAAAGTTAAAAGAAGTTTGAAAAAAGAGAACAAGCCTGTTCTTTATTTTCAGATTTTTGTAGTTTGCAAATAATCTCTTTTTCAGCACCGTACTAAGTTTTTGGCTTGTAGTGCACATCTTGCAAAATGTAAAAATGAACAGATCATTGGGGTGAGAAGTAGATTTTATCCATTTCCAAATCCAGAAGATAGTGCAAATATAAATCAAAATCTGTTCAGTTTGCCATGTAGTTAGAGGCATTGAGCAATAGATCCATTGTTTTACTGCAATCAAATGTTCAGTATTCATATCTCATTTTCACTTTGAAATATTCTCTTCTGATTTAAGAATTTTAAATCTTTCGTATAGACAGCATACAAAACCAGTTGTGCCTATTCAGTGCATAAATTCATTGTTAATGTAGTCAAGGGATGAAAAAGCCTCAACTAGCGTTTAACTCACTGGAAAAAATGTTTTGAAACAAAAAAGTAGTTCTTAACAGTACAGAACAATTCAGATTGCTTAAATAAACTCCTGTAAATTGTCACATAGCTTCCTTAGCTGAACAATGGTTACGAAAGAGGCTTTTCTTTACAGTATTCTGTTAGTTTGGACTGTGCAACAGACGTGGGGGAATAACCCATGTAAGGCAGGATGAATGTCTTCTAAATCACATGCACTATAGATGACACTTTCTACAGCATAAAATGATGCTATTTCATTGGCATAAACTTTTAAACTTCATTGTTTCTTCTGTTTTCATACTACAGTAGAAAAAATACCTCAGTAAGCCTAGACTTTTGCAGTACTATGGTATGTATTTACATAACAAAATAATTGCGTAGGGAAACCTGCTGAAAACTCCTAATCAATCCTAGTGTTTTGAAAGTTGTAGGCTCAAATAGTTGTTAAATGAAGGTCACTGTTTTGCAGGTGTATGAAACAAAGGTTGGTAAATTTGTTCTATAATGAAGACTGAATGTATCTCTGAGCTTTCAGAGTATGAATGAAAATTAATTTTTATGGAAAAAGTTTTGACCGCTGTGACAGGGTGATTATACAGTTTGTTCCCTTAATTATTGCTCTGTAAAAAGTAGTAGCATTCAGTAACGTTATTAAGTGTGAAACATAAAGAAAATATCTTCCAGTCATGTTCCAATCCTACTGCCCATTTCTGTCATGGATCTCACTGCCAGAGCATTTTGGGAGGCCAGAATATTAATGTAGTTAAACAGAGTTTGGCAGTGCTGTAGAGTACACCAACCGGTAGCTTTCATTTCAGTACAGAAATTACAGTGTTAAATTTTGTGGCCTGCACTCAACAGAAAGTTATAATGCATCATTATCTCCCCAATATCTTTTCAGTTCCCATGGGAATAAAATAAATAAGTAACGGAGAGTTACATGTGTGTGTATGTTTTTTAATCCTAGGTGTGGTGCCCAATGTCACCTGAATTCTATAGAGAATACGTAGCCATCAAAACAAAGAAACGGATCCTGCTGTACACCATGAACCCAAATAAATTCAGAGCCTGCCAGTTCCTGATTAAGTTTCACGAGCGACGAAATGATAAAATCATCGTATTTGCTGACAATGTGTTTGCACTGAAGGAGTACGCAATCAGACTTGGGAAGTAAGTGTTCACAGCCAACGACAGCACCGTTGTTTTTCCCCTTCCTTGAAAATTGCTTTGTAATCTCGCAGCTTTCAGTAGACTTCAGATATTTCTTGTGTAATACTTTGATTTAACACCAGTCCTCCTATATAAGAAGGGAGCTCAGGAGGATATTTTTTGGGATGGATTTTATTGGCACTGCAACATTATTTTGGTGTAGAAGTGTTTGAAAAGAATCTCTGTTTAGCGCTTGCCTCAGAGGAGTTTTCATCCAAGATTTCTGTGAAAGGCTGTTAGGTATTTCTCCATCCATTTTTTTTATAACTAAAAGCCAGTGGAAAAATGAAGGGCTTTTAAAAATATCACTGGAACTATTTCTTTAACGGACGGTAGCTTCCTCTGTCTCGCTGAGACAAAAGTTTTCAAATAAACACTGTCTGGATCTTTCCAGACCGTTTGGGACCTGGGGCCTTCCACTTCAGGTTCTCAGATGTTCTTAACCTTGTCTGAAAATCTAAGACAAACTTTTTGGAGATCTGTGCATTGCCTAGAACTACTATAATCGTTTCATAAACAAAAGTGTATTGCTCCCGTGAGCTCCTCAGCGACCCTAAATGACTCTAAAATGAGCGTAGTTACAGAAGGTGATACAAATGGAGTTCAACTAGAGGTTAACATCAGTGTGTTTGTAGGGTTCGGGGAGAGTGTTTGCCAGGATCAGGCATAGAGCAGTTATTGGGGAAAACAAGCATAGAAGCTGTCCTCATCCTCTCTTTGACAAGCCCAGATAACGCCTTGCTTGCTGGAAGCTGTGGGGCATTTCGGCTGCGTATGATTTCACGTCTAGGAATTTCAACACTGCTTAGCAAAACCACAAACAAGCCTTACACTTTACAAAATTCACGATCACTTTTGACTGTAATTTAGCAACCACGTTGTGCTGGCTTTCTGTGGCATCAAATAGTAAGCAGAGCTAATGGTGCTGGGTGAATTCCAACACCCGTGGTCTCTTTCATCATTTACTTTAATCTGTCTGGACAGAGATTAGCTGTAATGATGCCTCTGGAATGTCAGTAGCAACGTTCAGTGCACGACAGAAAAAGCCTTTAGCAAAGGCGATGCTGGGAGGGGGTGCTTGCAAGGAAGCACAGCAGTTGTTAAGTGGGGTATATGCTGTAGAAGCGTGGTGGGAAAACCAGTTAAAGAAATATTTAGGTGTTTGCTTTTCATATTCTTGAGTGAGTTCTCTGTTCCTCACGTTATGTATGGAGCTCCAGGTTATACGACTGTCAGCGTTAGAAAGAAGGGAGGCTTGCAGTGCTGGATAAAGGTGAGGGAGTCTTTATTTTAACCAGAGAATTTTCTATCATAGTTTGCTATGAGCATGCTGAAACAAAGGGAGCTGTTGGTTTGAGTGGGGCAGGAATTCCACGTGAAAGGAGGAGAGGGCAGCCCCGTGGGTATGGTGATAGTGGCTGAGGCCGTCTGCCCGGCCGGTGCTGGCCCACCAGGACAGTTCCCACTGTGCTTCTCACGACCTGGGTCAAGCACGTGGAATGGGTGGGATGGGGAGAATGGAGGGAGAGATGGCCATCACTTGGCTGTCTCGGCCAGCTCCTCCCTTATTCCCCCTTTCCCTTGGTACTGGCAGGAAAAGACCATGCACATGACAGGAATTATTTTGGCTATAATTTTTCAGGCTACAGAATTTAAATTTGATTGGCTAGCTTTTACTCTGTCATGAGTCTATCATCCAGTGTTGCATAGCTCATGTGCAGACTGTTTTTTACTGGTGTTATTAATGTGTTTAAATCACTGTTTCTGAAGGACTATGCCTCTGTGGGTTTGGCAGTTATGTCAATTAGCGGGCAAGGGATCCATCTTTGCAAATCCCTCAAATGTCTTTTTGCAGTGAGGAAAATCGAATAGTAACGGTACTGTTTCAGAGTTGACTCATTTGCTATTCTCTTTTTTTTTAGCTGTGTGTTTCTAAAAATCTGGTTAAATACACTAAATAAAGAATTAGATTACAGGTGACTAGGATTGTTTGGTAAAAGAAAAACTAGAATAAAGTTTGCGGTGAAGAAAGCAAGACAAGCCAACACACAGGGATTAGTTGGTGAGAACAGAAAACCTTAGTGCTGTGCACTGCATGTTTGCGCTCAGCTGCCACCCATGTATGTGCAAGTTAAACGAAACATTCGCGGTTGGTTCCTTGTGTTAGAAGTACTGCATGGAAGTGTGAACAAATAGAAACTGTGGAACTTGATTGCTGTTGTTTGGAGGTGCTTTTTAATGAGCATTTGGAGAAGTAGTGCAGCAGATGAAAAAGCAGTGGCTATGCACTCCTGCATGCTTCTCATTTTTTATGTGGACTTTGCCATTTCTAGCTTTTTCTTTTTTTAAACTCTGCTTAGGTAGGAGGGAAACAGCCAGACTCTAGAGAGAATCTTGGAAAATTCTTAGTAGCCCAAGTCACTCATGAAGTCTGTGAGTGACTGAGAGTTTGCCTGAACCTTCTGGACTGAGATGTTAAACGTTGCAGGTGATGCATTGTCAAGTGTTAGAAAACCATAGGTGAAACGCCACTGTGAGCTGCTTGTGGCCATGGAATGTTTGGGACCTTGTTCTTATTTCAGTAAGTCCAGAAGGTATTAGGAGGGGCAAGAGTTTAGCTTGAAAATCAGAAATAATTTTCCCAGAATGACATCCAACAGCCAGCTTGTGACACTCAGCATGCCATTGATAGAGAAGCCTGGGTTTTGAAGCGTTGAATAGGAAGCAGAGGTTGCAGCTGTCAATGTGCTAACTCAGTAGATTTGAGGGGAAAAAAACTCCTATTTTAACAGCTGCCTTCAGCCTTTCATGTACCCTTAACAAATGTATTCAGTCTGTTCATCTACAGCTTCATTGGTGCACGTAATTGCAAAACATTTGTAACTGTCAGAATTTATTTCTGGCAGACTGGGTTGCTGCGAAGGGTTCCACAGGCAACTGGGTAGCTGCCGTAGAGCCAAACAAGCTAAAAGTAAACTGTAAGCTGTACCAAAATCTGTTTTGTTTTCATACCAATTCAAACGTGTACTGTGCTCCCTGCCATGGTATTTTAGTACCTCAGAAGAAATGATGGAGAAATCTTGAATTGACTTAATTTGCATGTGTTCTGTTCTTTTCAGACCCTACATATACGGCCCTACTGCACAAGGAGAAAGAATGCAAATTCTACAAAACTTCAAGCACAATCCAAAAATCAACACGATTTTCATCTCCAAGGTGAGTGAGGACATTCAGTGTGGCATTGTACCCATTTTCAGCGTGCACTTTGTTTAAGAGTGAGTTACACGTGCATGTTGTGCGTTGGACATCCTTGTATCGCAGCTCACAGAGGTGTACTTTGCACTGAGTCTTTGTTTATGGTACGTGGAAGTAGGATACTGCTCAGAGGCTGCGTCTCTGTTCCAGGTCGGTGACACATCCTTCGACCTGCCGGAAGCCAATGTTCTGATTCAGATCTCGTCCCATGGTGGATCTCGAAGACAGGAGGCTCAAAGACTGGGACGAGTGCTGAGAGCGAAGAAAGGTAAGTGAGGTAGTTGTTGGGCTCTGGGCCTTGGATCATAGTGTCGTAGAACTGCAGAGAAACTGGGTGTTAATGACACTTCTTTATAGTGTCCTCGGATTATGTTTCAGTCCAAGAGAATATATGCCTCTATACGAGTGAGTGAAGGTGCAGCATTTTCTGGGTCTAGAGCTTTGTGTTGGCAAAGCTTCCAAAGGACAAAAAAAGCTGAAGGATAATGAACTTCTTGTTCTTTGGTGGTGCGTTCACTTCTTCCTTCCTTGATAATTTCCTCAACATGGGAAAAACCCATAGTATTATTCTAAAAAGCAAGTGTCTAGAAAGCACATTTTTGATACCGCAGATTACTTTCTTTTAAAAACTGGATTTGGTTTCCAACTGGTTGTGTTTATGCAAAACATAACCAAGAAACTTTTTGTTTAGAAAAATTATTCTTAAAACACTTTCTACTTGCACTAAAGATCTGCATACACTTATTTCATGTGCAGTTTGTGCTTGACACAGATGAGTCTTTATTTGAAAATGCATACAAGACCCATATTAGTGAATTAACAAAGTCGTAGTGAAACCTTGGGTTTTAGAAGAGATCTTTGAGTAATAGGTCTTTGGGGCTGTAAATTTAAAAAAAAAAAAATATGTAGCCTGATGTATTCTGGGCTTCAAATAGCCCTATGAATTCTTAGCTAAGTGTCTTTGTCTTGCCTTTTTTAATGCAAAAACACTGCAAACAGTGGTTGGCATTGACAAAACTTTTCCTTTGTCTTTTTCTATTAAACGTCTTTGACATGTGTTGCAGTCCTTGCTCTTGACTTTTTACTTCTTTACATAATAGGCTTAAAAATAATTTTGTCTTTCACCTTGCCTAGCATAAGAAAGCAGCAGGTTCTTTCAGCACCGGTGTAATTGTGCTAGTCCATATTTCCTTTTCCATCTCTTCCCTTTTCACCCATTCTCAAGTTAGTAAGAACAAGAGTAGGAATTTCCATGCTGTGTACTTTGTTAATCAGTTAATGTAAGGTCGGGTTGCCACTAAACTTTGCAGATTGTTTTTGTGGAGAGACAACTACTTAAACACCTGTTTTCAATTTTCAGTCCTTTTTTGTTCTTGGTTGCAGTGTTCCAAATCGAACTAGTCACTCAGTGTCTTTGTCTTCTAGGCATGGTTGCAGAGGAATACAACGCCTTTTTTTATTCTCTTGTATCCCAAGACACTCAGGAAATGGCATATTCAACGAAACGACAACGGTTTCTTGTAGATCAAGGTTATAGCTTCAAGGTAACTTGCCCCTTCTGTTTATTACAGTTGTGGCCTAAGAATATAACTTTCATATTCTTTCATGTTAGTATTAGGTCAAATACTTGAGAATTCCAGTTGTGGAATGTCTTAATGAAGGTTTTGCTCGCAAGCAAGAACTGTTCCCGTATTGTTTTATCATCTGTATTACTGTGAGGGTAGATACAAGTAGCTTAGTACAGCTTCTAGAAAGGTAAGTATTGTGACTTCAAACCGAGCGCTCGCTGGGGAGTGATGCAGAACTTCACCTGCATAGTTGGTTTATATTCCTGATCTTCAGTTGTCCATCCGTGCAGGCCTCCTGTAATACGTTATCGAACTGTTTGTGCGTAAAGCATTGTTGGTACGTGTTCATGTCGTAATGGCCAGCAGCAATTCAGACAACTTCCAGAACATCACAAGTCACAAAGAATTTCGAAATAACTCCAGTCTCAGACCAGTATTTCACTATGGAGAGAAAACCTTTGTCCTTGTGGCTAAAGACAGTGTACAACGGGCAGGATTCATCCATCCTACATTCATACATCTGACTCTGGGAATCATGAAGTTAAGTGTCTGAAGTGTCTAGCAACCATGCCAAAACAAATACCTTTCAGGGATCTTTGTCCACACACTAATCTTGTGCACCGTTTCCACGATGCTGTCCAAAGCCCATAGTGGTACAGAAAATCAGCCAGGATGCAGGTATGTTGATACGGTGGGTCTGTGTCAGCAGAAGCTGTTCTGGCTAATGGAGGTCTTCAGACTGTGCTTCCTTAGCCTCCACCAACAGTTTGACCTTCCTCTTGTAATTTTTCTCTGCACAGAATGAAGTATATCACCAAAATCTCTGCCCTGAATGTTAATTGATTAAGAAATGACAGAGTTTACTGCAGGAAAAGAATTTTACTGCAGAGTAGAAATCTTCCTACCTGCAACTAAAACATACTCCTTAAAATAGAGAACATTTTCAGTGTTGACAATGTAACAGAGCCATGACTTGAAAGTCAGAAGTTTCTCTTTTATAAAGCACTTAATGTTGTCTCATTCTCCAGATATACTTGAAAATTGATCACCCCTTGTGCTTCAGTTAATTATGTATCTCTGTATGTCATCTTCTTCCAAATATAAAATCTCATTCCACCAAAGCTCCTCTATTTTATAGATTTCATGGTGTATCTCATTTTTCTTTTACTGTGGGCTGCCCCATATGCTCATCTGTTTAGTTGTTAAAGGCAACAGTGTCATGATAGCTTTTGCTTTTAGGTGAGCTGTTCCTTTGCAAAACTGGAGTTTACTGCTCTGATTAGAAGCCTTCCCAATAAGAAACGCTGCTGAGAAGAGGCGGCTCCCGTTCCTGCTGTTAGGGAACAAGCTCAAGCTTATGGCGTTGACAGAATCATGCACGGTTTGCACGAGGTGCAAGGGCAAGCAGCCTCCTCTGGGTTGCACTTCAGCCGAGCTATTTCAGAACTTTTCCTTGGGAGGCGTGTGTGCAGCACGGGGCATCCCTGTGGGTAAAACTTCTCTGAGCTGCGGCTATGCTGAAGTAAATAATTGCTCTTATCAGTGGCCCGTTAAAGGGAGCCTTTCGGTCCTTACACCGAAAACAGACATGTCACTGTCTTCTTTACAGGTGAAAACCTTGTTTTGCTTTGCAGTGGATGCATTTTAGAAAAATTGTACATTAGTACCAAGCTGCAACTAATTACAGCAAAGGCATCTTTGTGGCTATAGCCAAGAAGATTAGAGAAATCCCTTTACTTATATTTGAATGCCTTGGAATTTAGAATGAAGGAAGAGGTTAAAATAGAGCGATTTTATTTTGCAAGGAAGACCAAGTCCTAAGAGCTTTGGTGTAATATGGAAAAAAAAGCAGTGCGAGTGGCAGCTGAGGTTCTGGAGCAACATTTTAGCTGACCAGTACTGGAATGTCCTTTATTTGCAGTTTAAGAACAAAATGTTAGAATATCTATTTTCTTCTGTTTGCCAAACTTCAAGCTTTAGTCATAGCTGGCATCAAAGAATAATAGGGCTGGAAGAAACTTTCAAGAAACCATCTATTGTGTTTA